ATTAGCCTTACCACTTCACTGCTGGCTTTACTCCACATCTACTAGCTGGACTGTCGGCAACACGGTTCTTTAAGCAGTTAGCGTGCTTCCACTTCGTTCAAAGAAAAACCTGCCAGCACATAGTTCTATAAGTAAGCCTCTAACCCTGTAGTTATCTGTTGCCACTTTCTTTCGGTGGGCTGAACGGTTTCTCGGCCAACTGCTCAAATCTCCAATGACGCAATCGCCCTCTCGTTACCCCGTTTGTCAATTTTGAACAGTACCTCGGCAACCGGTAGATCTGCAGTCCCCGTAGCTGGTTTGTTGTTCCCACTGCTTCAACGAGGTAAGAAGCCTACATAAGTCAGGTAAGTATTCAATCGCACCTCATGCCCCCTCCACAATCGCGGCAGCTACCCCTCAGCAAGGTTCAAACCCCTCTCCTAGTTGCGGCAACAGTTTCCTCCACCTGCGTTCAAGCTGCGCCCAGCCAACTATGTAAACGATGGTGAATGTGGTGCCTGAGGCACAGGCAAATACACGCCCGGTGCCTTCTACTATTCGGCACCTTAAGCCGACTTTCTGTCTGTTCCGTACAACTGGCTGAACTTTTAAGTCAAAAACTCTCTCTTTCTCTCTCTCTCTCCTGCCACCATCCTTCAATCCACCACCCGATTTGTCATACACACTGTGAGTGAGATAGAAAAGAAGAGCAAGGGAACAACCGCAATTGAGATGAATGGGCAGTATGCGAGGAAAAAGCCACAACCACAGACAGTATCGTGAAAACGATAGGGTGCAAGAACTTGAAACGAGGTCACGATCTCCGTGGCGGATGGGACCACGCCAATCAACACCGCAACAATCATGTACGAGCCACACTATTGTGCTCTCAGTGGCCACGATGAGTTGCAGCCACGCGCCCCCCCTTTTTTTGATTTCACAAAATGTACAGAAGTAAAATGAATCTTCTACTAGAATCTGGCCAGTTACATCCCCCATTTTCCTAGCGCAGTCCCTACAACACATGCCAGCCAAACTACTGCCTATTTCACAAAACTAACATACCTATTGGATCCCAAGCTCCTTTGAACTTCCACTTGGACTCTTCAATAGATCGATTTCATTTAGAAACGAGAAAAGACACATGATTTTCACTCCTTTTTCTCACTTCATCGCCTCCCTCGACTCTTTCACGGACCTCTTTCCTTCTCCATCTCCCATTGTGTTGCCTTGTTGGCTAAATAGTTGTCGTCATTCAACTCGCAACACAGCAAAACCCCCAACTAACATTCTAGCTCGCTCGGTTCCGTCGAGAATCGAGCGAGAAATCGTTTTTTTCGCATTTATTCCATAGCCCGCTTCTACCATCCCTCCGCGTTGTACCTCTTCCGTTTATCTCTAATCTTACTCAACTAATCCCAAAACTAACCGCGCTACTCAAAATCATCTTATCTAAAAACCCCTATCCCAACCTTTACCCCATTCGATTCCATCAAAAATCGAGTGATATCTCGACTTCTTCTCCCCGTCGTTCCTCTCTTCCGTTATAGCTCGGTGCACTAATTCTTTCTCCTACCTCTTATCCTACTAATTTTCCTCCTAAACTGACTGCATATTTGGGGTCGCCCGCCCCGAAAACCCTGACTAAGCACTTTCCTCCACCTGAATCCGACAAGGAAGGAGTAAGTTATGGTTTCTTCCCTCCGCCATGCCCGTCTCTTGCCATCTCCTTCTTCATACGCATCTGGTGCCGATGCACGTCCACATTCATTTCTCACTATGTTTTAGCAGGTTGAGGTCTCATTCATTAATAGCAGTAACCGAACAAGTCACTCCCCCAATTAAGAGCGGTCATGCACCACCAGCCGTAGAATCACAGAGGAACTTCTCAATCTGTCAAATTTTCCAAGCCTCGCAACCCCGCCTCCCTCGTTTAAGTTTTAACGCAACTCTTTAACAGCTGTGCGACAAACACCGCAGTAACCAACATGTTGTTCAACAATACTAGTCTTTCTGCTGCCTATTACCTGAGTGTGACGACTGATCGGCACAACAGTACTGTCGCAGCCTCACCACAGTGTCCTCGTACGCCTACTTCCTGATCCTTCAGGTTTCACTACAAAAAGCGCAGTAGTCCCAAAGTCGAGGTGCGGGCCTACCGCAGCCCTGTTGCATGGTCCCAAGTTAGACCAACGTTCTGCATGGCAGGTATCGCCCCAACTCCTACCACAATCTCCTTCAGCTAGCTCTGCTCAACGAAGTTCACCACGGCCTCAGACCCCCAACGACCAAAGAACTCACTCAGGTAGCCGGTTGTGGGCACAGTCTATTGCAAACCTAAATGGAAGTCTGGGTGGGTTGGGCCTGGTACGCCTTCGGGGGTAGTAACAAATATCTGAACAAGGGCTTTTGGAAACCAAGGTGGAGGAGGGTTCCAAAGGTGGGCTGCTGTAGCGGCCCTCCCACAGCATCTCGGTGTAGCTCGCTGACCTCGATCCCTAAATCTCCCTATTGAAAGTTTGACACCATAACCAATAACGCTAGGTTCAAAACTGAGCCTAGTACTTAGCGGACATCCATATTAGCTGGTACTGCGCGACGTGCGGGTCTACTGAAACTTTTCAAAATCACATTGTTGTCGGTGTTGTCCTCCACCCGTACGCACAAGTCACAAGCAAGCGTACCAATCAAGGGACAAAAATCTTTTTAATCCTAGTTAAATCATAAATAAAAATTAGGTCGGCAGTCATGCCGACTCTTCAATTATCAACAAATAAGATCACGCGCGCCTCAAGTCCACGTGCCCACACACTCTTTAAACTAGCCAGTCATTCAGTCAACGTAAATCACAACCGAGACTCGCGCGGTATACTTAAACTTTTAAACCAATTTTATTCTCTGTTGTCCGCAAAAACCAGGGCGGATATGCATGTAAGGGTATTCGCACAGACAACTTACTGGACCATATTAAGCGACGTCCCCGTCGCTTCGTAGAATGAGAAAGGAATCAACTCAACCATAATCCAAATTGATGAGGAGAAAGGAATTAGTTCGATTAGTCGACAGACTATGGTTCGAGGCCTCCATCAATCCATACCAACGCAATTGTATGCTGCAAAGATTCTAACCTGGGTCTCCATTGTTCTGACATTAGGATGCAAGGATACTGGCATACGTACTACAGCATAAGTTACGACGACCCCCTTAATCATCCTCTCCTCTTTGTCCTAAACAAACGTCGACTTCTCGTTAAGTGTCCCGATGTCTTCACCCTGCAAGCAGGGCCATAACTAGGGACGTGGGCCCTAACTAAGACCTTTGAAGACATTTTTGCCTTCCTTCAAACAATTTTCACAATCAAATATACATATATATATAAATATTTTCTTAGACTTTCCCCGCCGTTTAGTACAGGAAGGTCAGTTCTCCATCTTAACCCACCATAGTCTAGTTGATCGAGCCAGATCTACGGTCCTTCACATTGTTATTTTAGCGGCATTGCCCTAACAGGTTCCGTCATGATAGGTTTTCTCCTTAAAAGCATTTGATCAAGACTCCAAAAGACTCGACTCTTATCCCTCCGCCATCCCGCAAGAAGAAAACTGTTCTAGGCGGCCACACCCTTTAAGTTTTTACTCCTTTGGTAAGACGTGGGTCCGCTGTCAGGTTAAGATCGTTCTAGGCGGTCACACCCTTTAAGTCTTTACTCCTTTGGTGAGACGTGGGTCCGCTCCCAGGTTATGATGGCCAACAGCCAACGCTAGGGGTTGCACCCTAGTGATGCTAAACTTTATCGTAAGCTTGGTTTTTCTTGCAAATTCGCTAAGATTAACAGAAGTGGTTGGACGGTGTGTCGCAACGATACAGGTCTATTTGCAGGACTACGCAAAGGTCTGTTACACATAAAAGGCATTTACCAGCCCTCTGTGGGATAACACAGAGAGCACGACATCCTCTCTACTTTCACAAAACCGAATCACCGCTAGGTTCACAAGGTCGTGACCTCTCAACTTGATCAGAGCAAGAAAGTCACACATCTCAATGACATCTCCCAAATAAATCACTCTTGCGACCTCCAAAATTTCACCAATTGTCAAACAAAAACTTCGTCATTCTTATCAAACTTTATATTTCAAATCAGCTTCCCATGCCATTAAATCTTTTAACCGCCTTTTTAAATGAAGGAGGTCTTTCTCATTAGGTCTCTAAGTCATCCCTCTCTTTCTAGGATGGACTCTTACATGACACTTTTAAAACACCTTCTACTGAAAATGAGTCTCCAAATGAACAAATAACTACCTTTCTTCTTGAAGAGGTCTCAGCCATAAAAACCACTCAGCAGCTGAGAGACCAACTTATGGGTCCTCATCTCAAGTCAATAATAAACATTCGGCATGATAAGCATTAAAGTCTCAAAGACCCATGAATCCCTTAGAATTCTCACACTCTTAAAAAATCACACTGCAATTCCTCTCCTTATACCCGACTCTATCATCTGCCAGTGGGCAGATCACACGAGTATACCGAAGAGTAGACAGTTCACATTCATTCACATTCATAAAATACCCAACACACGAGATGTTTCTCATACATCTTTCACACAAAACCATCATTCATCAGGATAAATCCACACATGTGAGAGCGATTGTGACCGTCGTATACAAGGAGATAGTACTAAATAAAGTCTTCGATCAATATACGCTCAGGGATGAGATATCTCATCCAAAACATAAGTAGTGGTTTAGACCCGTAACTCATTCAGACTAAGTAAAATCACTCCCCATATGGTACAAGTGTAATCGTTCTGCCAAAAATGCACTTAAAATCAGAACTGATCTTGATCCTCAGGAGTTAGAAGGGAAATAGTCCTACTTTACACATGTCACATCACTGATCCCCAAACCTCAAATTACTGGTGAAAACCTCAATGGTAATCATATGTTGTAAACCTCTATCTGTACAGTCGAACAACATAGGCTCCAAAGATCTAGAAACAAAAATTAAGTAAAAAGAAACGACTAATTCCTAACTTTAGAAGTGTGGACTCCTTCTCAATCCCGGAACCAGAAATAACTAATCCACACATAGGCGAACCAGTCCCTACTCACTCATCTCCATCTGGTTTTGCTTATATAACTGAGCTATGCCTCCATCTGCAGATCGCTCTATTATTCTACCCTGTCTATCGTACATCTTTCCTCCACTCTCAGTGACTCTCCCTGATGCCTTGTCCTTCAGGAACTTAGGACATTGCAAGGCCCTATGCTCCCTATCCTTGCAGAAGAAGCAGGATAAGTCTCCTGATTTTCGGCCCCTCTTCTTCTTCTTCTGAGATCCTGGCGATGAAGGTGCCTCACTAGCCTCTATGGTCATCTCATGACACTGGGGCATACCCATTGGCTCCTCAGGTCCAACCTCTAACTCTTGAGTACTTGGCTCTGCCTGTATCCCAACTCCCTCAAGCCTGTACTCAGGTGTATCTAACCTCTGTGGTCTGCCCTCATAGACACCCTCCATCGCAAACACTATCTCTTCCTCCCGAGACACCTCCTCTCTCTGTTCAGGCATAAGCACACTCGCCCCTTCTTGCATGGTGATGACTGCTTCGAGGAGTACATTCATGGATCCCTCGTCAGACCCAAGCGCAGACTCGTTGACAGTTGTCCGTGGTCTATCCCCTGCTCGTGGTATCAAGGACTCTGTCGCTGGTTCTGAAGAAGTCGCAGGTTGGGTGGCAAGCTCAGTAGGTGCCTTGAACTCAAAGGCCTCCTTTTCTGCTTCCCTCTTTGCGTTCGCTTTTTCCGGTTCTAAGATGACCTTCCCCATGGGTGGTTTTCGGGAGGGCCCTGCCGCAGGCGACTGTCCAAATAGACCCTGCACTGACTCCCCTTGAATGCCATAGCGACTGCTCTCTGTCCAGTGCACCACTTTGGTGGGCGCCTCTCTGTCCATCTTAGCCGCCATATCCTGAAGTTGCCGCCTCATATCCTGGATAGTGGTGGCTTGACTAGTTGCCAATGCCCTGAGCTCCCGCACCTCTGTCTGTACTACTTCCAAACGCACTCCCAAATTCCCATCTTTCATCTTCCTTCCAACCAACTCATCTTCTAACATCAAGTACCTCTGGAAAGATGTCTTAGCAGAAAACGGAGCTTGCGGTCCAAGTATCGGTCCACTGATCTCGTCGTCTCGAGACCTGCTCTCTCTGGTGCAGTCAACCCCTTAGCACTCTGACCCCAAAACTCGCCCACATCTCAGTGACTCCGCGGGCCTTAGGTGGCATATCAGGTGGCTGGTCTGGAAGCAGTCCTGCCGCCTCTAATCTCTGTCTCTCCTCCCAAATCTCCTCCAAACACTTCCCTACCCTGAACCGCTTCTATCCTGTCGTCTCTCCTGCTGGCGCCCTCCTCCTTGTGCGACGGACCTCTCTAACTGGAATCTTAGTTCTCATCTCTCTCTGGTGTGGCTCCTGCAGTGGCTCCATGGGTGCGGGCTCCCTCATGTCAGGGTGCTCCTGGGCATACGTTGCCAAATGTGTATCGACAATGGAGAGAGCCTCTCTCCTCCATCTCCACCCTCATCCCTGGCGAAAGGGCCGCATCCGGGGGCGATAGTGGGGTCTCCTCATGTGGAAACTCCTCTCCTCTTTCATGAGCGACCCCTGACACTATCTCAGGTCCCAACTCTGGAGAAGGCGTCTGGGGCAGAGTATCCTCTCCAATCTCTATCACCTCCTCTGCAACTCGTCTTCTCTGAGCACCCGGCTCCGCCTCTCGCTCTGGGTCATGGACCGCCTCCTGCGGTACGTCCCCAACTGGCTCATCGTGCCTCACGTCACCACTGTGAAATAGCCAAGTGCGCCTCCAACTTCTGCAGTGATCGTCTGGATGGCGCCACCCCCTCCTGCGTATGTTGAGGAGACCTTCGCAATCCTCCCTCGGTAAAGCGCAAAAAAACCACTGGACCCAGCCCATACTCAGGATATGCCCCTCGCTCCTAAACCTGCTGTGCTGGTTCCTCACCTCGTCGGGCAAGAGCCTTCCGTCCTTCTCGAGATGGGATGGCCTCTCTGGGCTCAGGGTCCCCTTGCCGGATGGCCTCTCTGGGCTCAGGGTCCCTTTGTCTCTTACTTCTCTGTCGCCTCTCAACCCTGGGCTGGGGTAGCTCTGGCCGTCAAAAGGCCTCTCTCAGGTGCATCCTCCAGCCCTCCTAATCTCGCGCCCTTGAACTCCTCGATGTTCCCCATCTCCAGGCGAATCGGCACTCCATCCGTCCCCACTGGTGAAGGTCTCAAGCCTTGCATCCTCAACTCGGCCTCCTGCCAGGTCCTTGCCTCCCTGCGGATGCGCGCGATGGACTCCTACAAGGCTACAATAAAAAAGGTCGTGTGTTTGCTAATCCTCCTACAATACAAACCTCCCTTCAAACCTCCAAAAAAACGCGGTACACAGAAGCTATGCAAAAAGAAAAAAATATAGAAGAAATAAAAAAACTAATAAAATCACTTGATACCTAGGCTACCAGAGTGGCCCGGGGTCACTTACCCGGCCGGGCCAAAAAAATAAAAATAAAATTAAAAATTAGAAATTAAAAAATATTTTTAAATTTTATTTTTTATTCAAAATTTGGTAAAGAATTTCGATGTGACCCTAAGGCAAAAGTTGTTCTGTTTATTTTTCTGCATAACATAGCGTTTTTTCGGATTTTTTGGAATTTGTTTTTTTTTTTCTTTTCTGCTGGGACCTTCCCTGGTCCTTGCACGGGCTGGTCCCTGTAGCCTAGCTTGATACATTAAAAAGGTCACCTTTCTGACAAAGCGCGAGGCAGGTTCACCTACGCATTGTACATAAAACAGCCAATAAAAAGATAATATGTCTCATGTACAAAATGATGTAATGTACACTGCACTACACATCCTACAAGTACTATGGCAAGGGTTGTTCTGCTCGTACTCACACAGAACTGCCACCAAACTTCGCACTACAAAACCTTAACAAAAAAAAAAAGAAGCTGGACCTTCAATAACGGTAACCTTTGTCACTACGTCACAGAACGGTTCACCTACCTATTCTACTGCCTGTAGCCTAAAACGTAATAGATGTTCAGTCATATAATGTACAGTCTCTCTACATATCCTTGATTACTCGAATATTCATCCATGGGATGAGAAAAAAGCACCTCTGGGCACTCACCGTGTGGATGGTCCTCCATGACCTACCCCTGCTCTCCCCCAGTGTGAGTTGATGATGTCCCTCCTCTACTACTTGCCAAACTCCGAATGGCATCTGCGGGCACACCTCTCAATTCACTTGCAATTCTTTCAGATCCTCCATCTCGAACCGCAATGTCCTTCTCCATTGCTTCCCAAGTCGTCCTCACAACTGTTTCTTGAGATGCCACCTGCTTGTCATAAATTTGGAGCAAGATGACCTTATGTTCCTTCTCAGATAGGACTTGTGCAGCTGTATGATCATGCATCGCCGCGCAAACTGCCCGCATAGCCTGATCACGCACGATTTCAGCAGTCCTTTTACTATTGTCTGACATTTCACCTTGAATCGTGGTCGACCTCCTACCTTGTGATGCAACATTGGAGTTATTACCGACATTCGGCCGCTGGGAAGGCACACCGCCACGATTTGCATTCGTTGTCGGTGCAGCAGGCGGAGGTTCACCAGCCGCAGGTGCATCAGCCGCAGGTGCAGCAGCCACAAGTGCAGCAGCAGCCGCAGGTGCAGCTGCCGCAGGTGCACCAGCCGCAGCTCCCCCTTCACCATCGGTACCATGCAGTTGGTCATCCCTGTCATCCGCCTTCTCTGTCTCGGCGCCTGAATCTGTGATATCATGAATGTTGATGGTATCCTTGTCTTGCTCGTCTATGATGTCGTACCATAGCCTGCGTATGACGAAGTCCGGATCCCATATCTTTCTTTGTGCTTGATCCATACTCCAATACTTCTGCTTTCCCGACCACCTGTCGTGATATTTAACCAGCTTGTAATTGTTATGCACATAGTGCCACCTGTTTTTACAGTCATCGACACTGCGATTGTATTTCGCCTCGTTCATTTGCAGGTGTACGTCAGGCCATAACGCTTGCTTCAGTTTCGTCAACCCCCATGCCTCAGAATCGTGACCATGTGTGGCCTTTATTTCATACGGCGCCCGCAGGAGGAATGTGGTCTCATCTTCCGCCCACCTAGGGCCTTTTGCGTTGTATGTCTCACCTACTAGGAGTCTGGGGCAATTGGTTTCGGGCTGCACTTCGGCAAACACCCACGGCCTCTCCCTCTCGCCCCTCCAAGACCTCCGCCCCCACCAACTACCTCAACTGACGATGGACGAGCAGCAGCTCCAATAGCAGATGTTGGACTCATGCAAGTCCCCGGTGCGCCACAACCACCACCTTCGCAGGTGGCTGGCCCGATTGGAGTGCCCCCCGCTGCCCCGTTTGCATTAGCATGCTCCCCTTCAAAGACGGGAAGAGACACATAAGCAATGCCCGCCTCAACGTCGTGTATGATCTGATCTAGAATATAGCTACTGGGTGCACCTGTGGAGGTATGAGTCGGAGGTGTTTCTTCACCAGCAAATAACTGTGGACTTGGCATCTCAGTCTCACTGTTCAGAGGCTGGGAAGGAGACCCTGTGTAGCGAAAATGTACAGGAGACGGGGGAGCCAAGCCTGCGGCAGCACGTCTTGGTGGTGAACTAACCGTCACGGAAGGAGACCCATGTACAGACGTTGTAGGCGGACTGAAGGAACTGTGAGCTGATATACTGTTGACGACACCACCAATTTGGCACCAAACCCGTGCGAAGGAGTCATGGGAGAGCCCCCTGCATGTCCGACTCGCTCCACCTGACCACTGCAGTTATTAAATGTATCCGACACCATAGAAGCCGGAGAAGGTGGAAGAGGAGAAACGAAGTTGGGAGTATGGCCACGAACCTTGGTACAACGACCTGCCATGGCGATGGCGCGTTGTTTCAAATGCTCTCTCAGACCGTCCTCCCCACCTTCGATCGACGAAACAACAATGCCACCAAGTGGACATGGAGGTTGTCAAGATACAACATATTCCGACTCTGTTTTATCGGACTGAGTCTCTGATGTCGTACATATGTCCCCAATCAACGGAAGACCCAGAAAATCAATGTGCCTATCCATCCCTGCAGATACGACTGCTGTTCGCAGATGTTGTATTGAAATAGTACAGGTAAGCAACGGGCTGACCCGCCTGGAAGAGGTGTGTGAACTACGATTTCGTCAAAACGGACATTTTTTATTTTTTGAACGAAATTGAAACTCAGATTTTTTGCCTTTTTTTTCATATTTTGTGTAATTTTGAGCTACGAAAAAGGGGGGTAAGGGGTAAGGGGTCAGGGGTCAGGGGTCAGGGGTAAGGGGTAAGGGATAAGGGGTAAGGGATAAGGGGTAAAGGGGTAAGGGGTAAGGGGTAAGGGTTATCAGGTAAGGGGTAAGGGTTAAGGAGGAGAGGTGTAAGAGGTAAGACCTACGATGACCTCTCGTAAATTGTACCTCTGACACGATCAGTTACATTTTATCATGAACCGCATTATTAATCCTCGTTACACTTACAAACTCATTTATCATATATCAGGTCTATTTGTGATCACAACATGGTTGTTTCACATTTGTTTGAACATCTATAATGTAAAAAAAACAAATTCGTCTACTCCACAACAGCTACGTCGAAAGCTATCCGGCATCGTATTTTCTTCATGTCATCTGATGTGAACCTTAAAGGTGGAAGAAACCCTCTCGCCAATAGTGATGCATATGTCAGCATAAAGACACCGCACTCGTTGAAGTCGCGCTGCTTCGGAATGCCTTCCACTTGCCATATATGGTTGAAGTTAGCAGTGTCGATTTCTTTGCCTTGTTCGACCGACCTCATGTACAGAAATCTTGCAAACCCCCCTGTCACCTTCGCCGCGAGTTCACGATCCGCCGTCCGCGAATCGTAGTACTCTATTTTCCTACGTCGTAGGTCTGCCACTACGAGTGTCCAATGCTGGTTCTGCGCGACGTGGAAAGGTGCAATAATCAAATCCATGTCGCTGATCATGATCTCTGTGAACCACATTTTAACCTTTTCGTACTGGAACTTCATATCGCTATCAAATAGTTTCGAAAAAAAAAATGAGCTTAGCACTGCTATTGTAGGAATGCGCCCCTTCCCAGTTCTAACCACGTTTTCGCTCTTCGAGTCGCAATTAACGTGCTTCACACGACACTCATTGTCCAGTCGGATAAGGTTAAGATAAAAATTTACTATCTGCGAGTTCAGCCACTTCTTTTCCACCATTAGCAAGCTAAAATCGTTA